CCCTCCCTCCCGCCGTCAGCCACCGGCGCGCGGAAGCCCAGGTGCGGCAGGAGCGAAGGCCAGGTCATAAAAAACACTATTAATATTTCATTCCATAAAAGCTTCAAGTTTATTCGAGTGACACGGTTTTCAGGTTTACTGCACCTTAGTACTACACAAGCGACAGTTCAAGCCCGGTGTAAGGGGGAGGGCACGGCCAGAGGTCGCCTGGCCGAGAGGTAGGCAGCCACCTTGGGCTATTTAGGTGAACTAAACCCAGTTTTTCTTCTGTGATGGCACTACATTTTGCTACATTATCCTGTTACGAAGCCGTAAGTGGATAAACGCATCGATTGTATCGCCAACCCTTTTTCTAAATTAACTTGGCAAGCTTACTAGCACAAGAACACGAGTTGCACCTTTCACTGATACGCAGGTCAAACCCAACCAAAATAGACATTCTGGAACAGTCCTAAAATCTATTTCAATTATTTCATATTTAGCTTTTAGTGTTACTGCAAATCTAATTCTAAAACTCCCACAATTTTAAGTCAACAAGTCACTAAGCAAATGTTAGCTCTTGCTATATCCCAGAACAGAGATGAATGTAATTAATATCATAAAACATGGCCATCTACATACTGCTAGAGTAATTCAGGCAAATAAATTATCCTCCCACAAATAAAAAAAAAAGTATTACTGGCATATTTAGGGAAGTTAGCTTTAAAGTTAGATTCAAGCATACAAATATGAAGTAAACAACTCAATATTCAAGTTAGTTTGCATCTCTTTCGGTGCTTGACAGATCATCCAAGTTCAAGCACAGTGCAGAATTCGGTTAGCTGTTCAACTTTTTTCATAGAAAAACAGCACGTCCACAGAAGAAAGAAAATGCATTTCAACTTACTCGGTGATCCACTCTTTTATTTTACCTTAGTTAAAGGCAAACTAAGTACAGATACTGTACATTAAGATGTATGCACATAAAAAGAACAGTTGTTCTTCATTCTACCTTAAAGGCTCAAACCTCTACATTCTTTTATTTAGAGCCCTTTCCAAGCAATTACTCCTCTTTGAAACACGTTGCACCCACATTTATATATACAGAGAACCATCTGCAGGTCCCACATAGCCAACACCTATTAGTAGCACATCAATTAGTGTCCATATTCCAAGTCCACCAAAGCTGAAGAGTTTTCCCAGACCTTCCCGCCACTGGCCCAAATAGAAACGATCGGCACCAAATCCACCAAGGGTGATGCTGTAAGAATAGAAACATGATTCATTATTATTTTTAGATGAAGTCAGTCTGGGTATCCATACACACTTCTTCCTAACATACCCACAAGTTGATGATAGTTTTGCTCTACATCATCCAAGAAACTATATTTTTGTACAAAAAGAGCTGACTGGATTATTAAATGGTGCTTTTGATGAAATAGCACTATTTCTTAGCTAATTAGTACTATCCAGAGACTTGACAGTTTCTCATTCATGACGAGCAATAAAAACCAAACCTCTCAAATTTATAAACGTATTTAGACTATTCTAAGCTAGCAGAAGCTAAAAAAAAACCCCAACAAGCAAGCTACAGAAACAGACGCAAACGCTATATGCAGACCCACGCAGTAGTCAGGCAACAGTAAGTTTCTCCAGCTGGTGGCAGAGAGAACAACTCTTGCTATAACGAGAAGTGTGTTAGATCGCTTTCTTAATCAGAGTCTTATTGTACCTTTGGCTCCAGAAATAGAGGGTCTTACTACCTCATTTATCATATTAACCACTTTTGAAAAAGTAAAATTTAATGAAAAAGGTCTTGCCACCAAAAGAACTTCACAATAGTCATTTGAAAGTAACCGGTGCTCTAATGGCTTAATATTCTAAAAATAACCTAAATAGTTTCTTTCAATACTGCTACACCGGTCTCTTCCCTAATAATTTCAAATGCAGGAAACTCCGTCTGAAGGCATTTCTAGCTGTTACAGTTGGGAAGGAAGCCGTAACAGAAGTATACCAACTACAGCCAGCTCTGTGACATCTATCAAATTTCAATGCCAAAAATTGTTGGCATTAATTTCAGATGCCAACAAGTAATTTGGACAGTTTTCAGCCCTGATTGTTTAAAACATATAAAAACCTGGGAGAAAACCATAAATCTGCAGATTTTTTGGAGCATTTGTACCTCGTTTGACACCACGCAGAATAAAAGCAATCATGTCCTCTCTACTCAGAAAATGATCATTTTGTGAAGCCTAAGAATCATTGGCATTTACTCTGAAGAAAGTACATTCAATGCAGAAATAGAGTAAATGTTTTTGCTCAAGCTCTATTTACTGAAGACGGCTAGTATTGTTGCATATGAAATCTTCGAGCGTCCTATGCCTCCGAATTCTAAGCTAGACTACATGAAATATTGGTTACTCAATACACCATTAAAAAATACCAAGCAGAAAAGCACACAAACTGAAGATTTTACAGACAATCAATCTGTTTCTAATAATATTCTCTATTTTAGCTTGACGTTATCTAATAGTTCTCGTGTACCTTAGCGCCAAGGCAGTAGACCACTTATACCCTCCAGTCCAGTTGCAGTAGAGCATCTTAGGAAAGACACGATTACCTGAACATTAGAAAACATTCAAACCTTGATGTAACAAACAGAGACCACATAATGAGTAAGCAAATGACAAGCAAGAAGATACTGTATTTCTCTAACAAGAGCCAAAAAGGGTTGATACTAACTGAAACAAACACTCTTGACACAAAAGCTCATATATACTCCACAGTCCTCTGTTCCCTCAATCTTTGTCCCACATCAGAAAACATGCCAGGTCACTGAACAAACAGGGGGAAAATTAAACTAGTTGGGTAAAACCAGCATGAATTTTTTTTAATTATCCCACTGAGACATTTGATATTGATTCTGTTAGGGGTGTCCAAATTAGTTTAATTCATAGAACTTGTGACAAAAATAAAACAGAACTATTTTCTCTCACGTGAAGGTATACAACAGTATAAAAAGCCAATGTTTACAGTCAGTTGTCACTATTACTCTTAAAAGTTAAAATGTAACTATAAAATATTCAACAGATTTATCAAGGCGCAGGCTGTTACTGCAATGGACATAAACAGTCATTGTATTGATCCATTACAAAAAATGTGAAGAAATTCTTTAGGAAAAAAGCTTCTTTACAGAACCTGTTTTAGCCCACCTTACCTAGACAATGAATATGATCCCGTACTGTACAAGTGGCATTATATCGTTGTCGCGGACAAGAAACCGTCATGCAGTTTGTAGAATTGGTACATACATAATCAGTTGTTGCAAGCTGCCAGCAAAACTGGCATGTCATGTTAATCGTAAAGTTCTCCTGCTCGTGGTTATTCTGATCCTATAAAAGGACATCATTATCACTTCACTAGTAGTAACAGAAAATTCACAGTGTGCAGTATCAAATTACATTTCACAGATAGACATTTTGGGCAAAATAACAATTACCCTCTTTGCTACCTCTATGTAGTCAAGTAGAATAGAAAAGTCAACATTAGAAAACTTGACAAAGAGTTATTAAAGCGCAGTTTAACATTACTGCTTCCTCCAGTCTAAGGCTACTGCCAAAAGGAGGACTCATTCAGCCTCACCTGTGAGATCAGTTTGTAGCTCTGACAGATATTTAGCCTCCCCGCCCTCAAAATGGTTCAATTTTGATTGGTCAACAAATTGATTTAACTCAATTGCATGGCTGCGTAACAAAAAGATCCAACGCAAGGCAGGCAAAACAGAGAAGGGCAGGTCTGCCTCTTCAGCAACGGCCTACATAGTTGAATGATTATATGTATCACAGATCTGCAAACCTGCCTATGGAACAACCTGGAAATCAGTTTTTTGTATTTTATGACAAGGTGCACCAGTTTTTAATTAAAGTACTTAAATTTGGGTTTAAAAGTAACAGGTTACTTACAACACAATGAACGTGTGGCTTGACTCTGCAATCAAAAGTGGCCGGCTTCCCATATATACAGGAATAGTTTGTGTTACATGTCATACAGTCTGGTGGCAATCTACTGCAAAGCCCGTTGCTAGGACATTTAGTCACGTAAGATGGAACTTCTGTACTTTCTGAAAGGTGAAACACATGAATAAAATTAAGAAAGCGAATAAAAAAGCTTATAGTCTGAAGTATATATACACGTTTTCTTTCATAGGTATATATACGCACACACGCACTGACACTGTGTAAAGGGCTTTCCTTATTATACGGTGAACAGCATTACAAGTTTGCCTTGTGGGAACCACTGCGTTAGTCACGAGAGCTACGCAACACAGCAGGTTACCCTGCAAGGATCTCACCGAAGTTCTGTACAGGACAGCACAGCAACACAATTCGGTACAGCACCAGAGCAGAGCTTAGCATGGATTAGTGCCGCCTCAGCCAGTATTTCTCAGCGGAAGTAATCAGTTTAGGTACAGAAGCAGGCTGACACATGTAACCTACTTTTAGTTCAGGTCTAATTGT